TCACTGGTGAATGTCAAAGTGGAGAGAGAAAAAAAATGCTGAACTTCTGGATCTCTCCATCTCAAATTTTATTTCCAAACATTCAGGGATGTGATATTTTACTTTTCATGGTATTAAATTAAAAACAAAAATATGGTCACAGAACAAGGAAACCCCCCATTCTGAGGCCACAGTTAAATGTACCTGCAAAAAAAAAAGCCTGTCACGTCTATAATCCCAGCATTTTGGGAGGCTGAGGAGGGAGGATTATTTGAAGCCAGGAGTTCGAGACCAGCCCAGGGAAACCAGTGAGAACTTGTCTCTACAAGAAATTTAAAAAGAAAAAAAAAATTAACCAGGCATGGTGGCACACACCTGTAGTCCCAGCTACTTGGGAAGCTGAGGCAGAAGGATCACCTGAGCCCAGGAGGTCGAGGCTTCAGTGAACCATGGTCTTGCCACTGCATTCCAGCCTGGGTGACAGACAGAGTAAGATCCTGGCTAAAAAAACAAAACAAAACCAAAAAAATCTGCCAAAAAAATGTAACTTTAGTTATATTTTCCATATCATTTTGGGCAAGGGAGTCAGAATTTCGGGTCCTGACACCACACCAGGTATGTCTGCCCTAAATGTTGTGGTCTAGCCTTAGAACACAGGGCACTGTGGGCTAGCCTACTACAGACAAACACCAGGATGAATTTGATGACCATAGATTCCCCTACGATCTGAGCATTAGAAGCGCGTGGCGTGTGCCCAGAGCCCTCTCACTTTGCTGTTTACTCGGAGATCAGCACAGCCCAGGCAAGAGGGCTCGACAAAGAACAGGCTTTACTCTTCCTTCCCTCTCCTGGCTTAGCTGAAGAGAATGAGGGAAAGCGGCACGCGGTTAGGAGGAGGTAAGTACACATTATCTCCTCGAATGCCTTCAACACATCCCATGGCAGGGCACTATTTGACATTTGTGGAAACTGAGTGTCATAGCCGTCCAACACTCTGACCAAGGTCAGAGGTCGCAATCTAGACAGGGTTTCCCCGGATGGCTGGGAATTGCTAAGCGTGGGGTCTCTCTGCCATCTCGACTGTGGAGATGTCTACAGAGCCGCCAGGGGACAGAAAAAAGGTCAAGGACCACATCGAGTGAGAAGCCATTGAGGGATTCTGAGACTTGAGCAAGGCTCTCCTGTCTTCCATATCCGAAGAAGCTGTCAGAAATAAGAGAGAGCTGGGCTCGGTGGCTCAGCCTGTAATCCCGTGCTTTGGGAGGCTGAGGTGAGTGGATGGCCTGAGCCCACGGGTTCGAGACCCGCCTGGGCAACTTGGCGAGACCTCATCTCTACAATAAATCAAAAAATCAGCCGGGCGTGATAGCACACGCCTGCAATTCCAGCTACTTGGAAGGCTGAGCCGGAAGGATCGCTGGGGCCCAGCCGGTCGAGGCTGCGGTGGCCAGGAGTGGCCACTGCACTCCAGTCTGGGTGACAGAGTGAGACTCCGACTCAAAAAAAAAAAAAAGAAACAAGAGAGCATATTTATTTTCTGGGGCTCTAAAAAGCAAAACCAGGGGCCCTGGGTGGAAATGACAGGGCAGCTGAAATTGACTCTCGCTCGAAAGCCTGTCAATCAGCACTTCCCATCACAGATGGCATCAGAGGACTCACCAGCTGGTAGAACTGCTCCCAACCTTGGGGCAAGGTTGTGCTGGGGACCTCTAGGTCTTCCAGCTCCTTCTCAGATTCTCTCTCTCTGTTCACGCAAACATGCATTTTGTTTTTCTTATTGTTGGTGTTTTATTTTGCTTTAAGATCCAAACAGGATCTGAGAAAATGGTTGCTATGCCTTCCACGCTGGGCATATTCCCTGAAGCCACTTTTTATCATATCCTTCCAGTCCATTTCCTGAAATTTTGTTTCTTTTTATCCCCCTAGTTGGAGTACGGAAGGACAACTGTTTGGATCTAAGGAAGTTCTGCCAAAAATTACTCCACATGTTCTAAAGGTGTTTGCATGACCAGGCCATGTTTGCGTGAGACGGAGTCGCTTTGCCTTCCCGTATAGGCAGGAAGAAATGAAAGCGATGCAAGATTTTTTCACTAAAACACAGCACAGTGTGACTCACTGAAATCTGGCCTCTCCCTGCACAACGCTGGGTTATCTATTTCCGGTTCAGACACACTCTTGTGCAATTAGGCTGCATTGCACACTCACACCCCCTGCTTCAGGTTATGTGTAAATCATTGACCTTGGTGGTGGCAGGAACCTCCTGTGGGTCACGTGTGTCAGTGTGACACTGAAAATAGATGTTGTGACCACGGAATTGTTCCTTGAGAGAATTGTTCTCCTAGAGAGAATTACTGCAGTGAACCCCACAGCTTGGTTCTAACCTAGTGTTTGATTTGCACGAAAACACACTGGACAATTGTACCCACAAAATAAAGCAGCATTTTTAGTGACCTTGCCTGGCCCTAGCACACTGATGGTCAACAAAGGCTGAATTGTAAAGAGCAGAGATCCAGGCTCCGAAGCTGCTGGACACTAGGATCCAGCACTGTAGGAATTATTTTCCAACAGCACACCTCTAAGTCACCTCTCTTGGGTGGTCTGCTTTTCATTTAAATACCTACTTTTTCCTCTGCTCGGGGCTCCTGACAGGGGAAGATGCGCCAGGTGATGTGTCCCCTGATCTCTCTGTCTTTGTTCACTGCTCTCTGCCTCTCCCAGGGGGAGACTCCCGTAACTGGCCAAAGCTGCCGCATGCTCTGGCAATGTCCTGCAGTCTGATCCCCAACCCCTGGCTGCCACGCAGACAGTTCCAGCCACAGGGAGGGCGAGACCCAGCAAGGTGCTGAACCTGCAGAGAGAAGACACCCAACGGCCAAGCTTTACCTCACAACACCAAAATAAGATGCAGAGAAAACAGCCTCATGGAAAGCAAACCACTCAATATTTATCTGGATACATAGTTACCAATTTTAAAAGGGAAGAATGATACTCTAAGAATAAAAATAATTTTAAAAAATGAAGGCTGGGCGCAGTGGCTCACACCTGTAGTCTCGGCACTTTGGGAGGCCGAGACAGGGGATCACTTGAGTTCAGGAGTTCGAGACCAGCCTAAGCAAGATAGTGAGACCTTGTCTCTACAAAAAAGTTTTTTTAAAAATTAGCTGGATGTGGTGGCATACACCTGTAGTCCCAGCTACTCAGGAGGCTGACATGGAAGGATCACCTTGAGCCCAGGATTTAGAAGCTGTGGTAAGTCATGAGTGTGCCGATGCATTCCAACCTGGGCGACAGAGTGGGACTCTGACTTAAAAAAAAAAGAAAAAGAAAAAGAAAAAAATTACAAAGAAAAATATTAATGTAGGCACTCGACTCCATATTATAATTATTAAAAGACAAAAGCAACTGAAATGCTGAAGATGTTTGCAGCTGATATGACTAAGAATTAATATATATATATACTGAACTTTAAAAATTAATAAGCTCGGTGGCTCACTTTGGGAGGCTGAGGTGAGAGAATTGCCTGAGCCTGCAGGTTCATGACCAGCCCGGGCAACCTGGCAAGACCATGTCTCTACAATAAATAAAAAATTAGCCAGGAATAGTAGGGTGTGCCTTTAGTTTCGGCTACTTGGAAGGCTGAGGAGGAAGGATCGCCAGAGCCCAGCAGCTTGAGGCTGCGGTGGCCGGGAGTGGCCACTGCACTCCAGCCTAGGCGACAGAGACTCCAATTCAAAACAAAAAAATTTAATAAGAACGCAACGACACATATATGGAAAAAGAAGTGAAGAATATGAATTTGTAAGAGAAAGAAAACAAGAGAAGATAAACTTAGGAAAGAAAAAAACCTCGCTACCCACTTTTTAAAAGATGTAGGTTAAACCAGTGTAGTCACCTATCAAATTGGTTCGTTTATATGAAACACCAGCTTTGGAGGCTGATGACAGGGCCAGGAAACAGACACGGCCCTTTCCTAGCAGGATACGTGAATTGTTCAGGAAAACAACATCAAAGGATTCCAGAGTCGCAGCCCAGCAATTCCACGTCTATTTAACTTCTCCTAAGGAGCTCTCCAAGATGCCATCAAGAAGTAAGGGCAGCCGGGCTCAGTGGCTCAGCCTGTAATCCCGTGCTTTGGGAGGCTGAGGTGAG